AAGGAATGCCGATCAGCTCTGCGAGGTGCTGGCAGACATCTTTAACACCTCACTTACCCTGGAGACAGTTCCCACCTGTCTGAAGACTGCCACCATCATCCCAGTCCCAAAAAGCTCTACAGTGACTGGTCTGAATGACTATCTGCCAGTGGCCCTCACCCCGATAGTCGCTAAATGCTTCGAAAAACTGGTCATGACTCACATCAAAACAACCATCAACATCAACGAGGACCCTCATCAGTATGCATACCGTGAGAACCGATCGACAGAGGATTTTTTAAATTATTATTTTTTTCTCCTCTGTACTCCGGTGAAGACAGACGTGTTTCCTAGTGCTCCATACCTCCCCCGCTTCCCTGCTTTCATTCTTTCGTCCTGTGAACCCTTAAGAAGCCTCTTTTCTTTTTTTCTGCATACCTCTCAATTGGAAGGATCAGCTGGTCCCTAAACAAAATCAATCAAATTCTCCCAACAGCAGTCAGGGTAAGGAGGTCCCTCTTACCTCAACGGAAACAAATTGGATTCATGATGACAACTAGATTCTACTGTTTGGGTTGGTGAGATCTTAGATTGTCTACAAATTCATGTGGATGTGTCGAAGCTCGACAGCACTCAGACTGAATTTGTGGAGCTGCGGCAAGGAGCTGGAGCAGGTTGTTATCAGGACTGTGAACTGACTGGCAGCACTCATGAATGGTGGAAATAATCTTGGAGAAGCTGTGAGCTCGAATTTTGGCGTAAAGGATCAATTTGGCTGTTTTGGAGTTTCTATCAGAGGAATATATACCAGCAAGACTTTAAAAAAGGCAGAAACGGCAATTCACAAGTTCTGCCTGACCCAAACTGTGGCCTTGACACCGGACTTATCTCAACTCCTCCTGGAATGTTTTGAAAACAACAAAGATGCTTTGTCTGTCTACTCACCCCTCCCTTCCCCAAGGACATGGACATGTGACAGAACCTCAACTGGGCTGAAGATGAATGTCACCTCTTATCTGGACAATGGCTGAGGGGGGGGGGGGGGGGCTCTGGACTATGCTATGACTTTCCCTTAAAAATTTAATGTCTTCACCGGCCTATATGTAAATGTATAATGTCTGTTTATGTTGCTTTGCTGTGGTAGGTTTTCTTGATGTCTCAAATTGTGCCATGTCTAAGACACGGCGTGAGAGATCTTGTTTTTATACCGTCTCTCCTCATGTTCTTTCCTTTTCTCATCTAAGCAAAATATTATTCTAAATAAGAATAAGAGGGCCGTGCTTTCTACAGTTGCAGCTTTGTGCACTCTGCCTATCTTTCGTACGACTGTACGTACATGTTCTTGTTGTCTCGGTGCAATGCCAGTAAAGTTTATTCTGATTCTGATGCCATCTCCTCTGTGGTCCACACTGCACTCAACCACCTGGAGCAGAAAAACTCTTACGTCCGTATGCTCTTTGTGGACTTCACATCCGCCTTCAACACCATGATCCACCAAACCTTGATGGACAAACTATCCACACTAGGACTAAGCCTCTCCATTTGCAACTGGGTACTAGACTTCTTAACAAACAGACCACAGTCAGTGAGGATCCACAACTTCTCCTCCATCATAACCTTTAGTACTGGCTCCCCTCAGGAAGAAGGTTGAGGAGCATTAAGTGTAGAACCACTAGACTGAGGAACAGCTTCTACCCTGAAGCTGCTGGACTCATGAATCTCTAACTAGGAGAATCACTGTGAAAAAAATGACATCATGTTGCTGCTGATCTGTTCCATGTTGCTGCTGATCTGTTCCATGTTGCTGCTGCATGTACCACATGTGGTGGAACGACGATAAAGAAACTGACTCTCTCATAAGGCACAGCATGACTAAATGAGCTGTGATCCGTTTTTTTTTTTTCAGGGGAGGAGGCTGAGGTCTGTCGGACCTGCATTTGCAGTTCACACATGGTCATAATTCCACTCCACTGTTTTAAATGGTGAAAAAGATTCAGCTCCAACCTTTCATTGGGATTATTTCCAGCACTGTCTACAGAAATTATCTTTCTGCGCCACATCTATAGGGCTGAGTACCGAACAGAGGTTATTTTATGGCACCGACTGAACTGCATCGGTCGGATTGAAACGTCACTCTTCTTTAGGTGTCAAGTTTCAGTATTGGCTGTAACGTGTCACGTGGTTTCAGCACGCAGGCTGGTAAAACACAGACATATGACAAACAGACTACGTGTTTACACCCAGAGCTGTATAGAGCTGCTGCACCTAATCTATGTATAATGTATGTCTATGGTGCTGGTGATGCCCACAGACGGGTTCACGTGTGCAGCGTGTGGCGTCGAACGGCTGGTGAGTTTACGTTTGTTAACGTTACTGCAGCTTAACACGTACATCGTGGTGAATTAAACTAGAATCTATGTAAGGCTAACTTTAAGATACTAGTGTGTAAATTTATTTTATCTACGTAGCTAAACTCAGAAGCTAACTAAAGATTGACAGTAGCAGATGAAGCTTAGCTTCTAAACATGTGCTCATCCATCTGATCAGCTGCTTAAACAGTTCATTAATGTTAATGTTCTCCTCACAGGAGGTTCTGACCCTGATGTGAGGACACTCACAAAAGAAAAGCGAAGTAGGGCCACTGCCTTTTCTACAGTGGAGGCTGCATGGTGGAGGCAAGTTAAACTGTAAAGGATGTTTTAGATCAGTTAAACTTTTATCTCTCAGCCTAGATAATGTTTTTGATCAATAAGAACACAACCATGTTATTGTTAATGTTTTGTTCTCATGTCAATTAGGGAAATGATCAGAGCCCTAAACCCCAGAGAAGATTCAGGAAGAGACACAGAGGTGCAGAAGTCTGCATCAACCCTACCTCAGTGAATCCAGTGACCTGCTGGTGGAATTCAATTCAATTCAAAAATACTTTAATCCCAGAGGGAAATTTGTTGCTTTAACTCGTTATCCTCATTTCATTAAGAGATGTTATAGATGCTGATGTCTGTAGACAGGAAGGATCTCTTGTAAAGGTACCGGCCACAGTGGATCCTAAGAAACTGGCTGCAGATGCCGTCTGATCCGTCCACCCAGACTCGGCTGGCCTCTCGGTTCCCCGAGCTGCAGGACCACCTGAATGCCGGGCAGAACTCCTCCCAGAACGATGGCCACTCCTCCCAGCAGCTGCTGAGCTCCTCGTCACTGCGGACAGCCAACTTTAGGTGCTGAGGGATGAGCCTGTCCTTCTGCTGTCATGAGCCGTGTTTCCTGCTAGTTCCAGGATCTCAGTGGTCAGGCACTCGAGCACAGCTGGCAGGTAGATGAGAATGCATCCACAGAACATCCTTTCAACTCATTTGAGATTTAGGGCTGTAGTTGAGATATTATTTGAGCTTTTGAGATGTTAATCAGCTGTTGGTTGTAGAAACTGCCTTGTTGCCATGGTTACGCATCAAAACAAATGTCTAAAACTAAAAAAGTTTCAGTAAAAATCCTTCCAGCTGCACAGCATCTGATACCAGAGGAAACAATCATCCAAAAAATGTGATTTACATCCAGAAAAAGAGGAATTAAAGTTTCCAAAAGCAAAATCTCAGAATGAAAGTAGAGCTGCTCCAACATGCAGCCACCTGGAGCGGTGCAGTTCTAGAACGCGAATTCTAGAATGTGAGGGACACTATGTCAGTGCTATCAAACTGGTCAACCAGGTATGTGTGTGCAACAATCATCATCCACACCCTGAGTGAACATGTTCTACTGCTGGAGACACCATCAGCCAGGAGCAGCTGGTTTGTGTCCAGAGAGAACAGACATGTTGATGTTTCTGAAGAAGAACTCGGTGTGTAGCAGTGAGAATTAAACACTGACTTGTCACTGGTTTGAATCTGGTCTTTTGAACTGGAAATTATTTGTTTATTTTCATGTAAGAAAACTGTTTGGAATAGAAAAATACCAAAGTTGAAAAATAAAACAATTTTTACTGTGATGTGTAACATCATTTTATTCGTTAGAATTAATATTAATTATAAAATTGGTACCAAAAAAAGAACCGTCCAGGAACCGACGCTGAAGTGAAGGTTCTGAGTTTTTTTAGAAAGGTACCCCGCCCTACTCATCTGACAATTTCAATCCAAACCATCTCCAAAAGAACAGCCATTGATTTTCCTTGTGTGTGTCTCCGTGTTTACTTGTTGTGCTAAACGTGTCCTCTCCCGCCCGCCTCCTGGAGAAGCAGAAGGGGGAGCACGGCTGAGGGCTGTGTGTTTGTGTGTAAGGAGGCTGGGGGTGGGGCATGGGAGAAAGAAGACAGCAGGATTATTTCCAAGTACAAAACTATTGTTTTATATTGAGATATTTTCAACTTACATTGAAAAAAAAATATATATATATATTTTTAAAATATCGATATATCACCCAGCTCTACTCTGGAGTCAAAATAAATCACTCTTTCAGGGATGAAGATGTTCACATCCTGGTCAGAGAGGAACGATGGTTTGAGAGAGGAGTAAAGGAGGCCATCTTTGTGAAAAGAAACCGTCCATCATTAAACAGGGGTGGAGCCTCCAGGTTCAACTGTCCCCCTCTTACAATGCTGTGATTGCTAGTATCACTCAGCCCTCTGTGAATAGTAAACAGCCATCAGGTGCTAATGATCCATTGTTAGGCTGATGGTCCTTCTTGAGCATGTGATCAGCTGGTTTTGGTTGTCAGCAGCAAAACTGGTTGATCCACTCTGAGAAGGTGCTATTTAAGAGACTGAGCTGAATACAGCACCTCAGACTGAGGAAGTCCTCAGGATGAGAGACGAAACGTTTCTACATTTTTTTGCTTTGTTTTGTTTTTTGGTTTTTTTTGAATGTCCAGAGGACCAGATTTAACTTTTTTGAATTAAGGAAACTAATTTCAATGAGAAGTAGAACAGAGTTTAAGTAGGTTAAAGTATAGATACTACAAAGTTTGAACACCACTCAATCTAAAAATAAAGAAAGGAAACAGTTAAAAGTAGCACTGAATTATTTCTGATGTTTGTCTCGATGAAAATCAATTTTAATTTAAAACATGAGTGTGAATGTTTAACAACAGAATTACACTGTATACAACATATGGACGGTGTATAAAGCACTGCTGAAATGGTCAAAAGCCAACTTTAATTAAAAACAGACACTGACATGGGCTTGTGCTGTGAGCATACAAAAAAACAATTGATTGGTTTGTCTAACATAATAATTTTAGCATTAATCAAAACCAATTGAACAAAATGTGACAACACATTTGTATTTGCTCTTTGTAGACACAAAATATTACACATTTGAGGGTGTTTTAGTTGGACTGGTGAGTAGTGGAGAAACACAGCTTGAGAGTGTAAGGATAAAGCCCACCTAAAAGAGAAGGCAGAAAGATCATTTTAAAAATAATACCAAAGCAGACAATTTACAATTCAAAATGTGTGATAATGAACACAAAAAACTCACTAGGGTTTTTTATTTGATAATGATTAACCATTGCTAGAGCTTCCATGGCGTCATTGATGGATTCCCACTCCAGCAGACCAGATGAACTCCGCTCACCTGTTGTGGCACACACAATTATTTAAGACGCTACTAACTTGTGTAAATATTATTATTTAAGACG